TCGAGGAGATCAACGAGCCCACCTTCTTCAACGGGCGTGCCGCTGCCATCTACCTCAGGCTCGGAGGCAAGGTGCAGCGCATCGGTGAGATCGGCGTGTTGCACCCAACAGTGCTGGAGAAGTATGGCTTGAGGTATGTTCACCCCCTCTACCATCCGGCCAAGGCGTGATGTTTTGCTGACAATATGACAGATACCCGGTGAGCACGCTGGAGATGAACCTAGAGGTCTTCTTGTAAGACGAGGGTACGTAAATAAAACGATGTAGAGACATAGAGCACCGCTTGAGCGAAAGATAAAATCTGAGCCTGTTTCTGTGTTTAATCTACAGAGTGCGTACTTGAGTTTAAATGAAGGGAATATGAAAGGGGGTTCGCCTGACCATCCAAAATCTCACCTTGCAGCAACTCAAACTTGAAGCTACAGGCTTGGATGACGATACTCCGACAGGGCACTTTTCTCCCAAAACACTGATAAGGTGGTGTTTGAGAGATAGGCCCATAGACGCATTCCTTCAAGACGCCAATGTGAGCGGAGCAGTTGTCTGTCGGCAGATATTGTGTTCGTCCGAGAGGCTTGTTGCCGCAATGCATCTACATTGGACAGTACGATTTTGAGCTCATTCCCAACCCCATGATGTTTGATCCCAAGTGGAAATGGTCCGTAAAACCCATGGCTATATGCTCGTGCAGCGAGCACTTGACAGCTTTGGGAAAGGCCGCTGACAAATAGCGTGCACGAGACGACAGTGAAGGTCAATATCACGAGTCAATATCGTCGTATACATTCTCTTCATTATCATGACTATAATATTCCCATCCATCGCTTTCCCGCACGCTTCCCACGAAAACGAAAACACGCCCCAACGCCAGCCGCTCGGCCTGTTGATAACAGTAAAGAAATTCCGACCATGTACCGCGGCAAGTACGATGAACCATGTCCATCTATCCCAATCCTGTCCAGTTGATGATACCTGTATATTAGACCCGTGTATTATGCCCCTTTCCTCTATCCAGATGATGAATTACTCAAACAGCGCCCGCAGTCGAAACCGCCTCCCTGTTCAATCGTTGCCAGCTGCTGAACAAGCTCAACACAAAGGCAAGACCCACGCCGGCGACAGCGATGGCGAAGGTAGTCTTGAGACCCTCCATGTACGCGACCAAGATGCCAGGGATCTGCTCGGCGGGAAACACATGGCGAATGGCCGTGGCACCGGTGCCAATGATGGTGAGTCGATCGACGCCCTCGGGTAGGTTGTTGAGGAGCGTATTGATGAACGAAGACTGAGCGGCCGAGACAAGGATGGCGCCGCCGACGGTCTGGAAGAACAAGATGATTGCTGTTACGGAAGACATGTCCTTGGGATCGGCGCTGGACTGGCCAACAATGACGGGAACCTGGAAACTGACACCGTAGGCGATACCGGCAAGAATCTGGTAGCCGATCCACTTGCCGGAGGGGGTGCCGATGTCGAGCGTGTAGAGGAGACCGACACCAACCGTGGCAACAGCAGCACCGCCAACCATGATCGGAGTGGCGATGCCGGTTTGAGCGATGAAGACACCGGAGACCATGGTGCCGACGGTGACGGCAAGGATGAGCGGCAGGTTGCGGATTCCGGACTCTGTTGGGCTGGTGTTGCCGACCGATTGAAAGTACACAGGCAAGTAGTAGATGATAACGAAGTATGTTCCGCCCAGGAAGAAGGTGTAGAGGGAACCGACCCAGACGCTGCGCTGGCGGAAGAGGCGGGGCACGATCATGGAGCGCTCGTCATTGTAGTACTCCCAGGCGAAGAAAGCAATCCAGATCAGCACGAAGCCGACGATGAGGCCGATGACGGTAGCTGAGTTCCACTCATGTGTGACTCCGGCGTACTGGAATGCGAGGATGTAGTCGATGACGCCGGCCATGACCAAGGCGGTGCCCAGCAAGTCCATGTTCAGCAGCTTTTCCTTCAGGGGTGCCTCAACCGGCTTCGCAGCCTCAGGGCTTTTGAAGAAGAGCAGAAGAATGGCAGCAGAAACACCACCGATTGGCAGGTTGATGTAGAAGCACCAGCGCCATGAAACGTGGTCGGCAAAGGCACCGCCGATAAGTGGACCCACGACCGAAGCAATACCATAGGCGGCGCCGATAACGCTGGTGAAAACCGGGCGTCTCGCAGGTGGAGCGGCGAAGGCGATGATTGTGTAGGCACCAGAGGCAATACCAGCCGCACCAAGACCAGCGATGGCACGCCCAACAATCAGGGCAATCGAGTTCGGGGCGACGCCGCAGATCAAGCTGCCGATTTCGAAGATGACGATTGAGATGATGAAGCTGGTCTTGAGGGGAAAGTACTTGTAGATCTTGCCCCAGGTCGACTGGAAGCCACCGATTGTCATGAAGAAGGCTGATCCGTACCAGGCAACGTCCTCGAGACCTTGGAACTCGTCGGTAATCTTCGGAATGGCAGTGGCCACAATAGTCATGTCGAGGGCAACCAGAAAGACGGATAAGACGAGGGCCACGACGATGAAGGCCAGCGTGGTGCCCGTGGGATACTCGATCTCGACTTCATCGTCTGTCGATGGGACCTCTTCCTTGGTGCTTGCTGCGTCGGCGGCCTGCTTCTTCTCGAGGTCGATTGTGGACTCAATGGTCGATGGGGGGCGGGTGGAATCTCCGCTGAGGTATGTGCTGTTGCGGGCCGTGCCGCCCGTGGAGGCGATGTCGTTGGCCTCGGGGACCAGGGGTGTCGGGAGCGACATCGCGTTGGTGTATATTTCTGAAGAGGGTGTGCAAGTGTAGTGGGTATCTTTGCTCTATCAGACGGGTCACTGAGGCCAAAGCAGGCAAGAGCTGGGTTTTGAGATATTCGGTGTGCTGATGAACACAAGAACATCAGTCGACTTGATGAGACGGAGAGGCAACATTATATCCTCGCAACGTCCCGACCGTCGAGACACGGGCCGGAGACATGCCGTATTGCGCTCCATGATTAGGTATGAGAGATCTGTAAGTCCGGAGAGAGGGCAAGGAGTCATCCGCCGTGCCAGCCTTACGCCATCCACCCGAGCGATATCTCCGGCGAGACACGGAGTACGCATCTCGCATCTTGCAGGGATGGAAGGCGCGCTGCCCTGTTAGTGGGGTCGTGCAGGGGGGTGGGCGTGCGGCTCGGGGACTTCATCTGGGCCGTAGGCCGCATCTGGTTACAAAGGAAAAGAAGGTTATCGACCAGATGGGTGCGCTTCGCATTGGTAATGCAACCCGAAGGTGGTGTGCACGGTGTGCCAGCGTGCCATGGTACCTGACGAGTTTCCAGCGCAGCATCCCTCTGCAGCAGGCCGGACTTAGCGCCGACTACCGCCGGCGGAAATGCGTCACTGTCGATGACAAACCCAGCCCTGCCCGAGCTAGCCAATCTGGGTTAGGCATCGCAGAGATCGCCAAGATCCGGCCTAAAACCCACCTCCCAGACCCTTTGTCGTTTTTATCGCCGGGCCTTCCTCCGTGAGACGGCGGAAGATTCGAGACATGCCCCCGTTGCGATATCTAAGTATCCGCAATGCCGCTTGTCGTCATATGAGTCAACAGGCGTGCAGGTAAGCCGCAAACGTCAAAAACAACAAACCAATGCTTTAGACAATTTGCTAGGGGCTTTTCTCGCCGATCAACTGCTGTGACAAAAGTCGCCGAGTTGTTGTGATTCAACCCAGGAAGGCGGGGCACCCGTTTGGCGATGAGCTCATTCTGATAATCGTGGGCATGGGGCTCTGCGGTGTTGCTGACAACAGCATTCGACTTGCATAACAAAACGCCTGAGAATCCCAAGAAACATCACATCACAGGTAATTCCTCTCATCACCAGACGAGACGCACATCTCAACAACAAACCCACCGCACCCAAATCCGACCAATCCCCGCACCCCACCGTCCCGAACCCACTGGGCTGCTTCCCCACTGCGGCCCCTAAAACGCTCGGCATCGCCGGCCTTGGCAACCCGTCGCACAACACTCCCAGGAATCCGAGCAGCAGCGGCTCCAGTTAGTGCTTATGAGCGAGTATACAAATGAAGGCACCCATTCGCTCAGAAGCAACGCGGTTCACATCGAGAGGACATCAGACTGGTTCCACAGCCACGCAACCCGAGAGTTTACCGACCGTGTGGTCCTGCGCGCATCGGGCTCGGGTTGCATGCAACACCGCGTAAGGATGACTGTGACGGAACATGCCGTGGATGAACGACTTTGGACGCTGTAGGTAGCATGCGCTTGTTCACCTTTTCCAATTGGGGTTAAACATCGTATTGATTCGCATTACAGGCCTTTACTCTTTCCCTGTACACGCTATCAGCGGCTGCACCGGCCTTTACTTCATCACGCAAGGCCTCTGCGTAGCTAGCAGAGGCCTTCACGGCATCGATATAGACCTCTGAAGGGCCCTGTAAGGCCTCTAACATAACACAGGACGTGCCCGTGGCTAGAGTAAAGGCCAATATGCGAGTCAAGACAATACTCAAACATCTGGACTTTGCCAGACGATTCGACCAACATACTCTCAGCACGATGCAGTCCTCCTTTTGTCCGAAACCGTCGTAATTACGGGACTATAGAGCTCTTTTGCTTCATCTTCGGTGACGTTTGCAATGATTGGCGATTCCCATCTAGCAGGTCTGAGTTGCGAGATATCGGACTGGACTCGAAAAAACATGGTCGAGCGTGAGTAGCTGCCTCTGTTTCCTGTCGTAATTACGGGACCCCCGAGCCCTTTACTTCATCGTCGCTTGGATTCCCTTGGCGGTTTCATCTGGTAGGTCAGAAGTTGCGAGGACGTCGGACTCGAGAAAGCTGGGTCGATCGTGAACATCTCTCTCTCTATCTCCGCCGCTATCTCCGGCAAAAGTCTGGATGCAAGACATGTGAATCTAATATTAAAGTCATATCCACAGTTACATTGAGGCGACACATGCAAAAATGTGATGAAAGACTGCGTGGGGAAGGCAAAAGGTATTCCCCCACCGGGGTTTGAACCCGGGTCGTCAGAGAATTTCAGTATGAGCTGCGCCCCTGAAAATCTGATATGCTAAACCACTACACTATAGGGGATTCGATGGCATGGTGGAGGATAAAAGAAGGTTTTGAGGTGCTGGGATGGCTGGTTTGCCGAGGATTTTTGTGTAGGTGGATTAAAGGCGAAACCTACACACATGTGGCACTAGAGTCGCATTCACATGGCAGAGGGTATCTCGGGACCAGGACATTCGTGGTGTTGAATGGGTACTAGAAAAAGGATATAATCATGACAGAGAGAAACCAAGGTAATATGGAACAACCTATAACAGAAGAGTGCTGCCATACATCCCTATCCTCATCATTCATGTTGGTCACGGTACCCTGTACACCCGCAGCCGATAATTTAGAAAGGCCTGCAAGTTACCGCGGAGGCCTCAATCACACGCTGATCAATCTACTCCCAAAAAGCAGAAAAAGACCCTCACATCCACAACGTTCGCATTCCCAACAGAGAAGTCAACGCCGAGTTTTGGACAGTCATGTAAGACGGGTCTATCAGATCCCCAGCTCAATACGCCATTCCCCACAGCATTGGGATTAGCACTTGTTGAATCTAGATCTTATTCTGATTACTCACACCCCCCACTCCTACCTATTAGCCCCGCCCATCTCTGTTGTCAGATGCCCCTTCCCAGATCATGTTTACTCATCACTCAGCTCGTAAATCCGATAGGAATCCGTCGCCAGAACCCAGGCCGGCCCGAGACAAATGAAATGAGAGTCTATCAAATAGGGCCATTAAATACGAGAAGAAAAGAATTCAAAGACGTAGCTGTCCCCAGTCATCGGCGTCAGGGGCACCGGTGCCCCTCATCAAAGAGTCAAAAAACGCAGTCTCAACCCCCTGAAAGGTCCAATCGTCTATCCCTGCCGCAATCTGCACATCGTTTATAGCGTTGTCCAGATGAAACGGGAGCCCGGCTTGGTGACTTGACAAGTCCCCTCCGTCAAGGAGTACTTGGTGATGAATCGGCGAGGGTGCGCCGTGAGGTTCGACGGCGGTCACCTCCCCTTGCAGCAACGGAAGTCCGCATCCCCATGCTCGGTGGTGCATTCCAACCGAGCCCACAGTCCCCGGAGCTTCTAGATCGTGACGGCTGGCCTCGGTCGAGTACTCCTGTGGTCGAGAAGGACCATCTCTAGAAATGTTGCCGGTAGGATCGATCTTAACGGTTCCGTAATACGGGATACAGATGCGCAGTGCGTTCTCAATGCTGTCGTCAAGAGAATCCGCGTCGGCCTTCCTGTTGCCACTGGCTGCTTCTTCCTCGATGGCAAGGAGTCGTCGGAGTACGTCGCCGCATTTGTCACTCAGCGCGTCGTCGTTGAGTTTACTGACACACTCCATGTTGTCGAGAACTTCCTCCATCATGGCTCGGTCACTGATACGTTGGTGGGCGAGCACACTCTCGGTGCGCGGCTTCCGGTGTCCCTCTAGATAGGCCAGCAGCAGCGTCATCGCGGCGAGGAAGGCCCAAAAGTCAATGTTTCTGCAACAAAACGCAACGCGGTTGAAGGACCGGAAGACGACAAAGCGGGTCAGGATCTCCCGCGCTGCAGTGACGCACGTAGCCTTTGAATATTCATAGTTGGCTGCCTTGTCGCTGTTTGCGCTATTTGCGTTGTCGGACAGCATCATGTACGGAAGATGCAGCTGGATGAGCAGGTAGTAGTGATAGAGCTGTTTCGCCAGTCTCAGTGCCTCCCAAAAGGTAGAGCTTGGATCGCTTCCGACCTTGGTGAGATTCGGGGTGAGCCACCATCTCCCCGGCATCATGCTCGCTGCCTTCTGTAGAGCAGAATCAATATCCTTCGTCTTGGTGTAGTCGTCCTCGCGAGGATCCTCGTTGCGCTCCAGGATCCGGGCTGATATCACACAGTGAACCCGTTCGAGACGGCCCGACGGCACGTCTTCGGCGAGCTGAGCTGGAGATGCCATGGACATGTCCATCGTGCCTTGTGGGAGACCAAGCATCATCGAAAGCAGCCGATCTGCGAACACAATGCGAAACCACATGTACTGAGGGTATATCGGAGCTTTCGGATCGATCACCTTGAGTGGCTTATGGTTGTGAGCTTTTTGGATGCCCATAAGCTGTGCCACGACCATGGCCCGTCGCATTGTCAACCACGCCTGTCTGAGATTTCCCCAGTTGGCTTGGTAGACCCCCTCGAAGATGATGCACTGCAGGCCTTCGACAGTGCCGAGAAACTCATCGTTGTTGGTGACCAGACTCCGGACTGTATCTGCTAGCCTTCGAGCAATGACCTGAGGCGGCTCCGAGACTCCACCGACAGTGGCGGCCTGGTTCGATGGAAAGAGCCCCTGAAGGGTCGTCGCGAGCATCATGGCGACTTTCCCGATAAGCACGGGGTGCAGATTTCGATCAGGCAACTTGAACCAAGCATCCGCAGTTTCGGCGCCCTTGACTTCTAGGACGTGGAGAGGAATGGTTGCAAGTTGGTTGAACGGCGTGACCCCGGTGGCGCCATGCTCGCGAAGGATTTCGAGGTCTTCAGTTGAAGGGAAGGCGGCGAACAGGGTTTCCGACAGGGCTTTATATCGTGGAGAAAGTGGCGAGCCCACAGGTGAAATGCGTGGGGTTCCTGACGAGGCTGTACGCGGGGGAATAGGTGTTGAAGACGACGATGAAGGGCTTGTTTCCCTCGCAGATGTGGCCGGTGCCGATTCGTAGAGCGACAGGAGATGGGGCAGCTCCGAGGTCGAGGATGATGGTGTGGGGATACCGGTTTCTGGGAGGGTCGGGGCGTGCTTGGTGGTGCCTGCAGCAACAGAATGGACCAGCTGCTCAACCAAGGCCTCGACGCGGACGATTCTCTCGCCCATCTGGCGGCTGCGGTCGGCCGGAGCCGAAGCCTCTTCGGGGAACTCTTGGCTCACACATTTGGTGCCGCGGTTTTGGCATCCGTTGCACACAGCAGCAGCCTCCGAGTCGAAATTGCAGCGGATTTTCCGGCGCTTGCACTCCCAGCAGCTTCTTGTTCCCTTGCGTATCTTTCGGCGACGCTTGGCTTCGGGCTCGGCAACTTCTGTGGTGCGGGGCCGGGGAGTGTGCTGGGACGACCACGGAAAGCCATCAACGGGGTCCATAGCGGGTGGCCGGACGCTGAGCCGCTAAAAGCTTAGCGCCTCTAGCGGCGGGTCCAGGCAGCTTCGTACTCGGGTTGCGGGGGTTCGCCGAGGTGTGCGGTGCCCAAGTCGCGGGACAAAACAAACTCACAGAGAACCTTCAACACGATGATGGAAACGGGAGCCGGTCCGGCGGAGCGGACCACGGGCATGAGTGGCTTTTAGGACGGGACTCCTCCGACGATCCTGTCACTTGGGTCATGGTGGGCCACGGCCATAAGCAGTATTTCCGCCGATTCGGCGGAGGAATGGCCTGTCTTTGCGCCGTTTGCATGTCAGCTTATTAATGTGACCCTGGAGCGCTTCCCGTCAATGATTCGCTCGTTTGAGAGTGACTGTAATGGATCTTCAACGTCAAGTCTTGGCTTCAATCTGGGTCGCAGGGCAGGATGTGAACCGCATCTCCATGCTGTCGTTGTGAGCGCTTATCGAACGGCATTTCCCGTCTCCGAGAAGCCGGGGCGGTCTTCGAGGATGATTGCATGGGTAGGGTGCGATTTCCAGAGGTGCGAAGCGAGAAGGAGCGCCGGTCAAACTTTGTTTCAGTTCCCGCCAAAACCAACAAACTGATAGCTGGAATTGAGCTGAGATCTCGAGGAGGGAGCGTTCTGCCTTGGAATGATCTGGCAGAAAATGCAACACTCCTCCAACCTGAAGTGAGGTAACACTGAGATTGATCGAGCCGTGGTCAAGGGCGGGTGTTGTTTCCGTCCTGGATGTCGACAAGATGATCTCAGGCATGGAAATATTGCGCTCCATCGTTCCTTCTATGCACGAAACCAATTAACCTGAATTCGTCTGGTCATTCCATGGCACCATCCTCTTCCGCTTCTCGCTTCGACTCCGCTATCATTTTTTCACCTATGGTGTAAAGACTTTTTTCGCAACTTTCGCAATCTCGAATCCGCCCTTGGCCGCCCTCTTCATGCCAGACTCATGATGGTCGTGCCCTTCGATAAAGTTGAGCACTATCCGAAAGTCGCGCAAGCGTTGCTGCGGCACCGAAACCTTCGATCAAGCGAAACGCACGCGCTTACGGCGCCCTCCGAGCTCCCGCTGCACTCCAACTCGGCGGTTCTGGTAGATAATCTTTGTAAACCCTTCCTTGTTTCTCCGGGACCTTGAAGTGTTTGGTCGGCTGGGACTCGTGCGCCTCAGACCCAATAATATCGATGCCTGGGTGGAAGTACGCCTTCTCTCTTTCTCGCGAAGCCGTCAAGGCCGCCACGCCACCGGGGACCGTGCGGTTGATAGGTAGGAAGCTCTGGATCAGTGAAAACCGGATGCTGACATGATTGTTTGAATCCAGAACACGGCACCACCCAGCAGCCAAATGGCCAATATGTCGATCGCGTCGTCCGATTCCCCGTGCCCACTTCCGATCCCGCCGATCCCCTAAACTGGCAAACATGGAGGAAGATATCATGTCTCGGCACAGTCTCTCTCTATGCCTTTGTTTGCAACTTTGTCTCGGCGTCCATTACACCTGCCTTGCCGATATGGAACCTGTCTTTTCCTCAACATCCAAGGCCGTTCGATGATTTGATGCGCTTTGTTGCGGTAAGTTCGTGTACGGCGGATCAGTTTATAAGTCTCAGGGGCATGAACTAACAATCAAACCAGTTCAACATCCTGCTGCTCGGCCTTGGGAATATCTTTTGGGTGCCGCTTGCCAACATCTTCGGGAGAAGACCAGCTCTTGTCATATCAGCCCTGATTCTGTTTGTTGCTACGGCATGCGGGACGTTCATTTCAGATTTCAACCGCGTGCTTGCCATCCGGATTCTCCAAGGCCTTGGCAGCTCAGTATCGGAAACCGTTGCAATTTCGATCATTGGAGACATGTTCTTCGTCCATGAGCGAGGCACCAAGATGGTACGTA